TCTTGTACTGTAAATCTGTATTTATAATTCACATTATTTATACTGTAGTTTTTCAGTATTTGCAATGAATAACGGAACGCAGCCTTACTACGTCTAATTTTTCGCAAATGCAGTGCAACACTTCAATCAATGATCGTCACGGCAGAACGCAGCGATACACATTGCTTTTCGTATTACTCGTATCGCACGTAAAAGGGCATTCCGCTTTAAATAAAAATTTTCTTCTCAATACAAGAGGAAAACCGAAAAATAATATCTAATAGATTTTAGATGAGCAGTTTACTTTATTGGAAGAAGAATAAAAGTTTTCGCTTAGAATATGAAATTAAAGGAAATTTCACTTTATACATAGAATTTTTTTTTTGGGTGTAGGTGTATATGCCGCCTTAAGATCACCCGGCGAAGTTTTCTTGAGTGAGATGTAATCGCTCCATCCATCAAAATCTATACAGATACTTACCGCGTACCGGCACGTCACGATCGCGTTCCTTTTTCTTCGTTAGGAGCCAATCCAGTGGCCGTGCCCACTTTCTTTCGTTACCCCCCCCCCTCCCCCTCCCTGCAGACGAATCGGATCGAATTCCGGGATGTTGGGAGAAGTGAACCGTGACTGATAAAACGTATGGCGAGATACGAGCGCCGTATATCGTGGCGCGCTGTAGCCTTCCTTCCTTTCTTCCGCAGTGCACACACCCCCCTTCCCCGTTCGATACCCTCGGCATTCTTATCTTTTATTAACATAATGCGACAACGATGCGCGCGCGTTGCGCAGTATTACGGGAAATCCGATTCTTCTATAGAGTGAAGTAGCTGCCGCCGCGCGGTGTGTCGTCGCTATTGAGGGTCACTCGCGCGGAATATACGAACGCGATGCGACATACAAGCGTTGTAGAGCGGCCGACTCTGTCTTAAGTAGTCCTGTCTTCTATGAGCTGGGAATGCAATAACGTGCCACAATAACCGTAATAAACCGTCATCAACTTCTTTGAGCCCTTATTGCGCGCTAGAATTTTACACAGCATTTTCAACGGGAGCACAAGGCTGCTGCATCGTTGTTTGTCAAGGCACACAGATTACGGACTATAACATGTTTCCGGAGTGGACGGCAATTTTTTTGCAAATCTAGTATCATTACATAATTAGCGGTTAAACTGTAGTAAATTTAATATTCTCTAATCCGTAAGAGCAGCGGAAAACATTTAAGGATTTGCTAGATCCTAAGGCCTAAAATATAATGAAAGCAAATAATTATGTTATTATTAAATGAAAAAAATAGCTATTAAATTGATAATGAATTTCCATTAAAAAATTATTGTTTTGCTTTTTACAATAATTATAAACGACGCAAATTGTGAATTTTGAGCGATCACGTATTGTTTATTTATCGGCAACATCGCTATTATTGTAAAATTGCCGGTACAATTTAATTATTGCGCAAACTTTGTTCTTGCATCCTTTATATCTTTTGAGTTTTCTGTTATATTCGATTAGTATAATTGAAATTTGTTTGTTTGGAGAAATTCAGGTTCGGAATTTTTTCGTTTTCCGTGAAATTCTGCAGGGTAGTTGCTACCAGCGACGATTGTCGAGAAATGATGCCGTGTCGCCAAGACGTTTTCAATATCCCGCGGAGAAAAATGACTACGTGTATCCGCGTGTAAAAGCGCGTCGGTCTTCTTGTCGTATAACGTTGTCGTATCAGAGAGAGCGACTACTTCCGCGACAGGGGCTGGATTTATTGCGAGCGACTTCTCGGACTGTTTATACCGAATAACAGGTGGCCATAAATTCGCATCGTAATTCCGCTGCTCATTTTTCGGGGCTTCCACAATCGATGACGACGGCTATCTTCCTCGTGCGTGCCGGTCGAACACATCGATGATTCGGCCGAGCGATAAGAGACGGGAAGAGCTTAAACTCGACGAGAGAACACATCCAACGAGTCGATTATCGCGAACCAATTATCTTGGCCGCTGCGATGGAGCAGTCCGCTAAGGATTAAGGACGTTAACTTAATTTGCATGGCGCGCGCCGCCGGTATAATGATAGCGAGCGGGGATGAAGATATTTGCGGTAACGTAGAATGTGTTAGATATCTCGGAACGGCTACTTCTTTACGAATTAGTAAATTTCTTCCTCGCCTCTTCTTCGTCAATTTCTGAAAATGAATTTTGGAAATGTATAATATAACGAAATATATAACATTGTGTGTATATATTTGAAGTTAACACACATAAATGTAGAATAAATATATTGTAATTAATTTATGATAAAATTGGTGTTTACTCAAAAAATATTAATAAAACGGCCAAGAAACAAGCATAAAATAATAAACAACTAGACGATGTAAAAACGTGATGTAAAAGTACTAGATGTAAAAGCGTGATGACTCTTTCGCAAACCGTTTGAGAAAATCGACACTTTATCGCTATCGAACGAGGAATTTTGGACAAAAGAATTTTCGTTTGACGATCGCAACTATGTGACCATGTGCGCTTCCCGATTTCAAAGAGATATTTTGCTGATTCTTCAAAAATTGTCAAAAATGTTACTGACATAGTCTCTTATTGTCTATAATTTGATTTTATTAATCCTAATATACATATTAAATTATTTATTTTATTTATTTTATTTCGCGTTTTTAATTCCGCTAGCTGAAGAAGACTCTGTGTAGTTTCTAAACGTTCTAGAATTTTATCTAATGACTATTAAAGTTTTAATTTTTAAGTTTTTATTTTTAAGTTTTCTATTTTAATTTTATTTTATATCTAATAGTTGTTTATTATTTTGGGTTCGTTTCTTTGCTGTTTTATTTATATTTTTTGCTTTACATACACGAGCAGTTTGAACTTATATTTCGATCTCGACTGCAGTTTCCAGATTTTACCTACAATCAAAAGTTCTTTGTACATACATATGTATATGAATGAATATAATTTTAGTTACTTATTTGAAGATAAATATCGGTAAGAGAAATCTCTCATGATTATTTATTTTTGCCAGAATATTGCGATAGAAAGAGCGATATAACAATCTCTTTCCAGTCAAATGAATTCACGCGATCAATTATCGGACGTCGTTCTATTATACGTTACTGCGTCACGTTGCCACTTGCGGGAACCGCCGCAGACGACGGGAGCTGGTCCGCCTTGCGAGCAAACTCGGATTCCATTAACCGCAAAGGGCCCTGACACGTTCCTTACAGTTTCTCGGCTCGCACACCAGGCCAGTTCCTGCCGACCACCATGGCACCATAATCGCGCTCGCGCACACCAGGGAGGGAAAGAGAGATACGAGCTCTTCACTTATATAGTACGACCCGCTTTGCATGACGATGGCCGAGTAAAGACGATCGACGTCCTCGATTACGTCGGGAAAATGTAATGAGAACGGGACGCATACGAGCGCGATTATTTGAACGTTACGTTGAACGAAAGTCATTTCGCCGAAAGTACGCGTCAACGTTGCACCGCCACCGCGGCCGTCGCCACCGCGATGGATGCGCGGATGGATTCACCCTCATTATCCCGAAATGTCACGTATACCCGGGCCTCACGCGTTTCACCGCGTTAATGGATACCCCGTGGTGGTAATTCGAAGCGCGAATTAAACTCGACCGAGCGCGCGACACGTGAGCGGAAATCGCCCGCACGCGGTTAATCATGCCATCCCGAACGTATATTTACGCGTCGCTGTAACGCTAATCCACGATTAGGAAATTTGTTAGACGTTTCGCAATGATTTCCGAATAGATGGATCACGATCTATGCGGGTTAGGCTAATGCAGAAATTAGGAATGCGTAGGTTGAGTGCAAAGGTAAGATGGTGCAAAGAAATGTGCGAAGGTAAAATAAATTTTCATGCATACGAAAAAAAATCATAAAAAGGAGATAAGAGAAAAATTGTAGAAATTTGTATACATTAATATTGATGATAAAAAGGAATACTTTTTTAATTGTTAAGATTTTTTTCTGTATGGAATTATTTATTATGGAATTAATGTTTTGCAAATTGTGAAATTATATTTCTTTTACACGATAAGGATTTATAAAGAGTTATATCTTTTTTATAAACTTGTATATATGTAGTTAGGGATTTAAAAAGGGTTTAAAAAAGAAAAAGTGAATTTTTTTTCAAAAAGAAACACATTTATAAGAAAGAATTATCTGTTAATTTAAAATAAAATTCAGTGTAAGAAGAAAAAAAATATATATGTATATGTATCAATACTGTATATGTATGTATATGTATATACAGTAAATAATCGTATTTTTACATTTGTAAATTACATGTGTAATTATAAATTATCTATTTTTAATCTGTAAAAGTCTATAGAAGTGACTTCAAAATTGTTGCACTTAATTTTTTCTTTTGTTTTGATTTTTCTAATAGAATAGTTATACAATAGAATATACATAGAATAGTTATATACAAAGATTAAAATATATATATTTCTTATATGAAATTAAGTTTGATAAAAAATTCTTTTGCTGTATTAGCTTTTTCATACTCAATACTTATTTTTAGGTCTTGATTTTATGCTAGCTTAGGAAATGTTAATCTTAAAAAAAGTACGAAATGTACATCAATTGATGTTTATTATTTTACAATTTTTGATGAAAATCATATAACATTATAAAAAATGAAATACAAGGCAGAAAATGATGTGTAGTATATTTTCAAGAATTTATTTAGAATAAATTATTACAAATTGTCTTCTTTCTAATAACTTAAAACTTATAGATATAGGATAGAGCATATCTAAGACAAAACACCAGAATATGTTGAAAAATTAAACTTAGTAGATAAAAATGTTTCAAAAAAAAAAAGTTATATGATTTGAAGGGGGACAAATAATGAATTTAATTAATTTTTCAAAAAATCGATTTTTCAATTCAATTTGGAGATCCACCTTTTTAAATAAAATGATTTTTTTACACAATATAATTCCTCTAGAAATTAATAGTTTACAAGATATTTTATATTTTATATCGAAATATGGCATGATAAGGTATACAAATTTTATAACATATTGATTTTTCGATAACTTTAAGAATAATTAAATTGTATCTAAATACTTCTATGTATCGTATGCTTCAATCGTTTTTTGACATGTTTCGATGTTTTGTTTTAGATGTCTCACCCTGTAGATTACAACACTTAAAAAATATATAATATTATTAATTTTTATTAAAACACTTTTGTGTCAAAAAATATGTTTCAAAAATATACACACATAAAAGTTTCCAAGATTGTTATATTTTAATTAGCATTAGATAACATCTCTTGAGATAAATTGGATTGAATCAAACAATATAATTATTTCTCATTATATTTTTAGCAAAAATTGTATTAAAAGCAAATAGTTTTAATATCTGTTCAACGACATATTTTTGTACAAACTAGTGTGCAAAAAACTTCATTACTCTACTTTAAAGCTTAAACTTTATTAGCATGCTGCTTATTTAAATATAACATATATTTCTCTAAAAATTATGGCTTATATTGCTCAATTATTGTACGTGTCATTTTTTTAGTTTCGTTTTTTTACGCTAATTATATTGGAATTTATATTCTCTTTATGCATATTAGACTTAATATACATTACAATGGCATCATATAATTTATTAAATAGCATATCAATATCTATTGCTTCATAAATTCCAGTGATAATCTTTTGCAAAATCTCACTGCCGGAAGTGCTATCTGTGTATATACTTATGCCCCATTTCTTCAAGTTTTCTTTACAGTACTGCCAAATAAGAGTAAAAATTTCTAATAGAAAGTCGTCCCTATCTGTGGAATGTTTCATTAACTTTTTAACGATTTTAAATAGTTTTGTCAAGGAATCGGCCGTAATATGCATAGAACTCATTTCCCTTAGCAGCGGTTTGAAATCTATTATCGACATTATCGGTTTTATGACTTCTGGATAATTGCTTACACATAACTTTGATAATAAATCACAAAGTACTTTTGTTAATTGGTCAACGATGGAATCATCAGCATAATTACATGTACCAAACGAATCGTTTTGGTCGATTCCGATATATATGCCCTGTTGTATCAGACGAGTAACATGTTCGATGGGATCTAACAATAGCATACCATTGACTTTTAAATTACCACGTTCGACCGACCATGTGATACTACCTTTAGTACTACCTACAATATTGCCCGCACCATCTAATATCCGACTACCTCTAGTTACAGATCGATCTGACAATAGCTCTTGACGATGTCTTATACGGCGTATCTCTTCCGCATTCTCGGATATTTTAGATACATTACTTTCAGCAGCTTTTCTCACAAAACGATTGTACTTTTTACGGAGGCGTTTGACATTTAAATTGTTCTTGTAATCATTCATAACTCTACCTTTGGTACTCTTGATGATGTCGCTGGCGAATTGAATGTTTACTACGGAGCCGTAGAAAAACATGATATGCGTCGCCAAATTTAACGCGTCTACGATACTGACGGTCTTCTCCGTTACATATTTGTCATACATACAGTAACCCTGATGTATAATCCCAACACCGTTCAAGACCAGGTAGCCACCTTGCACAGTATTGAATGCTACTTTTGTAAAGGCATTTACTGCTTTACCACGTGCAGCAGCATTGGAAATAATCGCTGATCCTCTAATTAATCCAAAACTAAATGCAGAACCGAATAAGGGGATATAATGTGCTAATGCCTCTTTGTTCAAAATATGAATAGATTCTTTGTGGCTCCTGCGGTCTGCTAATTGTTGGGAATTTCGGGCAAGTGACCAAAGACCGGTCACACCAGCACCAAGACCTAATGAACCTGGTAATAAAATAAAATGCAGCATAAAACTATGTCTCATGATTTTATATTGAAATAAATGCTGACATAAAATTATAACTGGCGTAAATTATAACTTAGAGGATACAGCGGAGTAATTTGAATAACAGTAAGCATTTGCAAGAATTTCGGAAAAATAAGAGATTTTAAGATACATTCTATTAGATTGGACATTGATCTAATAAAATGTATCTTAAAATCTTTTATTTTTCTGAAATTCTTGCAAATGCTTACCATGTTATCCAAATTACTCCACTATTCAAATTACCCTACAATTAATATTTAATATGAGAATTAAGTTAATTCTGCATTATTTATATATTGAGGGATAATTTACCTGACACAGCAGCAACTGGTGCAAGAGGTGTAAACAATGACGCGATATACAAGCCAACGGTGCCAACTCCAACGATACCGGAAGTGACATCCATTGCAGTGCACAGTACTGATTTCCATGAACAAGCAGGAGAATCCATAATTTCCAGCCAAACTGTCGAATATTCTTCTGTAGGAAAATAGGCCGGATTTGGTTGATAAAGACCATCTTTTGGAAGAACCATAGTGCACTTTGGTAAAGTATTTTTTTTTTTATAGTCTGTCCAATCTTTATATACCCTGCCAGAGAGATCAATATACCATGTTTCGTACTGTGATGTATTTTCTTGTTTTGCCGTCGTTTTAGTTTTGAATTTTTTCTGAACATTCTTTCTGATTGTAAAAATGGGTATGATTGTAGGAATATTAATGCTAAGCAGTTTTTCTTCATCTTCTTTTGTTCTTTCTGTGTTTGCTTTTTTCTTTGCTTCCTCCTTTATTTCTTCTTTCTTAGGCTGTACATTTATTTTAGGACGAAATGTCACATTATAAATTACACCACAGTAAATTAGTTGAGAATCATCGGTTTCTACAGCATATGCGCATATCTTATCATATATCTTATCTATGACATTTTTAGCTGTTTCATAATCAACCGTATCAGTTACTTCTGTATTGCTCGGATTCTCTGTATTGTAAAAACAACTCCTTTCTGTTTCACTTGCATCCTTCGTGCTCTTTGGTGATCCATAAATTGCATATCCAATATTCTGTCTTAGATATTTACGTTCATCGCTTTTATATATTATGCACTCGGGAAGACTTTCATAGAAGTGTTGTTGCCATTCCACAGCAGTAGCATTCATTTTTTCCTGGAAAAAAATACCAGTATATACGCACACTCAAACATATTTGTCTTTGTTAAAATTGTTTCAAAAAAATATCAAGTGACTAATTTCTATATTGTTAGTTAAATTTAAGTTTTAAATTACATTTTTGGAACACCAGAGATAAGTAAGCTTAGTTATTAGTTAATTAATATTTGGAAAATCAATAACATAAAAATTTATCAATATTTTGGTGGCGGGTATTAAAAGAAAACTTACCCAAAATATGTCTGTAACTTCTTCTGTCGTAGCCATTATGTCCGTAAAATTTTTTAAAATTTAATAATTAAATAAACTTCTTTCCTGTATAAATAAAGGAAAATCGTATTGATGATTAATATGTATTTTTATCTTTTTGTCAAAGTAATTATGTTTGTTAATTTGGTTAAACTATCAAATTAGATCGTAAAATTATTTATCGACCGAATATCAATTCAAAAGTTATACTAAAATCCTCTTCACATCTTTTGAAAATCTATTATATTTGTCATATATCGTAATACGAGTTACGCGCACTTCATCTAATTCAAGAAGATGACATCATTCTTAAAGTCTTGACGCATCTTAATCTTATACGTTAACTGCATTCCGATACTAATTTTCTATTAAATCTATTTTATGCAAAATATTTAAGCAGCAATATATTAAAGTCATTATATACGTCAACATTTCTGATTTAATTTAAACTCACTTCAATCACCACTAATTTCTTGTACTTGTCATCTGAAGCAATACTGCACTTCTACTTTTCGCCAATAATGTGCTTACACTGATCTATAAATCGTAAAACGATATCTGAACAATTTATGATAAGTTGAATTACGTGACAGCGTTTTATAAAAATGGATAGGGATTTCCTGAAACCGCCGGGGATTGTCAGTGATCTTATCATAAGCTAAATTAAAAACACTCTGATTTTTAATTTAACTTGTGCTATTCGATCGCAATACAAAGTTTACGCGATTGTAATTATATTTTATTAATTATGGGCAAAAATTAAAACCCAACTCTTCTGTCTGAATCTTCTGCTGGTGTGATTAATGTATATATGTACTTTGCTAAGCAGAGAGACCATGTTACATAACATGTTCTCATTTTTTATTTTCCTTATATTTTATGTTTAATTTTTTATCGTTTAATACCGTCTTTTCTTTTATATTTCCTTATTGTTTTATATTTTTGTCTTAAATCAATACATTTTTTACTTATTATAATTATCAGTCAGTTATTTTTTTTTTCGTTGTTGTTATTAATATTTATTATTAATATACGTATTTCTAATTGTACTATCATTGCTCAAATGATGATTAATATGTTGGTCTTTATATTACGCAAGAACGATTAATAATTTCAAAGTAATAAATGTGGCCCCTATAGAAGTGTCCGTCTATTAATATCGGATAAATCATTGTGGTTGCGTATTCTTTGACAAAAGGGGAAAATTTTTTATCATTGTATAAAACGGCTAACCGAGTCTCGTCGCGCACGATTGCGTTTATCACAATTTATGAAGTGGTTTAAATGTTAGCGGGTCGCGGGAAACATGAAAAGCCTATATGGATCTAAGTGGGACTCCAGTGCTCCAGTTAAGCGCAGTATTTTCCATGCGTTAATAGCTGCAATTACAGCAGCTAATAGAATAAACAGTGTGATTCCGGCATCAATATGTACTCACACAGGAACAAATATTACAAATCGTAATATCGTAAAAGAGCATTGATCTCTGCGCTGAAAAGCCCGACTATATTTGTACGAAATGCACAAGTTATACATTAAACTTTTCATTGCTCTAACTTTTTATAAAAAATAAATTCTGATCCAATTACGATGATATAATATGTATCATACTATACGTATCATCGTAAAAATATTAATATGTTGATATTTAAAAAATAAGTTCTGATCAAATCACGATGATATAACATGTTGGTACATATTATATCATCATGATTCGATCAGAACTCATTTTTTAAATATTAAGTAACGTAAAATTGGATATTAAATCATTTGAATTGAATATGGATTAAAATTGAAATTTGATACTAAATAAAGTCATAAGAAATATTTATGCATAGCTGTATACTATTGTTCCTTTCACAAGTTCCTTGGACACATTTAAAAATAAAATAAAAGACATATCCTTATGTATTTTTTTTTTATTTTGATGACATTTGATCTTTTTTTTTTTACAAAACAACAAAAATATCTGTATCGTGATTTTTTTTATACCTTCCAATTTTTTTCATAAAAAAATTTTCACGAGTGATAGCCGATAAAAAAAGTGAGTCCACACGGACCGTATTCACTCTGACAGTGTACAACTCTGACAATATCTCCTACCAGAAGTGCCTGGAGAGAAATAGTTAAGTACGCTTAATTATATTTATTTAACAAAATGCCCCCAAAACGTAACACATAAAAATATGAGTTTTAAATAAAAAAAGGGGATTTTTTATGTAAAAAAAATAGTACGTTTTCTAAGTATAATATACAAATTCGTGACTGATGTTTTTATTACTTTATAGTTAAAAAGAAAAAAATTGCCGCGTAGTTATATTGCTAAAATAAAAAGATTACGTAAAAACTCGATGTTTCGTTAAGAATGAATTTATGAACGGTACATTTCCAAGAATTGCTCCACGATCAAAAGTAGTGAGACGCGAAAAACGCTGGCTTTCAGCGGATCCTTATTTTTTTCCAAGTCGCTTTTTCCCGCCCGCAGTAGAGTCGTTCGTAACGACTTGGATTTACAGCGGCAGATAGCTCGCGCTTGGCGCTCTGTACACCGGAAGTTATTCGCGTCATCCGAGTTTGCCGTAGAGAGATCGGCTGAACTCTGCGAGATCAGAGCGCGCAGGTTTCTCCGCTGCCGTGTCGGGATCGCATCGGGGCCCACACCTTCACGGCGAGATTTATGAAGCATGATAGCGCAGCCGACACCCGAGCCCGGAAAAGGCTGCCAGACGCGCGACTGGATTCGCTGGAATTTTTCCGCGTTTCCCGACGAGACGTACGTAGCTGCACGGATCTCGCTTCTCGCCTGCAAAGTGACGAAGAGATTCTTCATGAAACGCATTTTATCGCGCACCCCCCTTCTCCCCCTCCCTCGTATGACGTTTCTCTAACGTTTGTTCTCCAGCGAAGAGTTTTATTTTTCCGGAAAATCTTACATTTATTATCATTTTTTGTATTTTCTTTCTTCTATTGTCTATCTTTATTTTTGTACTATTAGCTCTGTGCGATACCATTGTATATACATAAGTCCAAAAGTTTTAAAGCAATAAAAAATAGAAAATCTAGGCGGATATTGTGGTTTTCTTTTTATTTATTCAAAGTAAGATCCACTTGACGCAATACACTGGTTGGCACGAGTTTCCAACTTTTTCATGGCGTTGAAAAGTCTATGAAGATCTCCAAAAGATGGTTTTTATTTCCTTTAAACGGCCCGTTTTTTTGGATCACCTCAATCGTGTCAAATCTTAGTCCCTTCAGCTGCAATTTTAACTTTGAGAACAGGAAATAGAGAGAGTCGGGATCGAGGAGACAAGTTCGGTGAGTATGAGGAGTGGTGCAATGTCATCACTCGTTTTTGGATTAAAAGATTGTTAAATCGTTGCTGTGTTTTTTCAAATTTTCAAAATTTGCAAAATGCGTAACACCACTGTTTTTGGAATGCCGAGTGTCTCTGCTATCATTTGATGTCATTTTATCCTCTTTGATCATCTCTTTGACGACGTTGTCGTCGTTTCCAGATGTTGTTAGTCGGTCACTACGTTCGTCCTTTACTGACTCGATCTCGTCTCTCCCGAAAACGTGCGTGCCACCGGAAAATGTTTGAACAACTCAAAGAGGCACTCCGTAAGCCTTTTAAAACAACTCGACAGTTTTCAAAGCTGACAAATCAGTTTTGCAGCAAAATTTTATCGCCACACGTTGCTCTTCTTTCATATCTCACGGTTGTGACAGGGACTAATTAATGAAGGTTGTTCGAAACGTCTGGTCTTAATCACTACTCAAATCACACTAACGCCTATTGGCACATATGTCGAAGATTTCTATACTATGTAATTCTACTGCGTTTTGGTAAATGACATCGATAAAAAAGTGGTAATAAAAAATTCAGTCCTAAAACTTTTAAACCGCACTGTGTATGTGGCTAAATTGTTTTCCAACAGCAAATATGATATAATTATTATATTGCAAGAGATAATCCGAGAATGAACAAAAAATCAAATAAAAACATCAAAATGCTATTTAAACACTTAGTTTTTGAGCATAAAATACAACAGATCATATCAATCGTATTCGATTTTTGCTCTCGTTTTGTTGCTATAACCACATATTTATTCTTAAGTTAATATAAGTATTGATTAATTTTCTTATATAATACTGATTATTAATTTTACCTGAGTTAAAATTTATATCTTTCTTTTTCTCTCATTTATGAATAATATGCAGTTTATTATATATAATATGAAATAATATATGATACGTTTTTAAATTTTTTAAATAGCTTACTTTGTTTAAAAAATATATCATAAATTTAAGGCGACATAAAAATTCGATACATCGATATTCATATGATCGTAAAAATGCTTACGGTGTTTTTTGCTTGACGCAAATTTCGTTGCTGTAAATTAGAAGATACGACTTAGAACGACGTGAAAATGCACGATCGCATTTTTTATGCGCCGCTCACCAGTCCGGAAGCGCGTTGTCCTCCATAAATCTTCCCTCCTAGGACGAATAGTGCCATGGAATATTTTTTTCACGACTTATCACACGCGCACATAGGTGTGCACAAGGCTTTCGTGTGATACAGTCTCTTTTCTGGCTGAGTTAAACGAGTCGTATCGACAGAAACTCGAGTGTCTTTAAAACGTTGGAACATCCTCGTGGTCGCTCGTGGTCGTCGAACTGAAAGGGGAGATAAAGAAGAGGACAAATGCGAACGTCGGCGTGGAACGAGAGCTAAGAAAATTTACGGGGTAACACGAGAAAGATAGGAGGGAAAAGGGGGAAAGTGAGAGCGAAAGAGTGGCAACTTGAGAGACGCGGAAAAGATTGCAATGGACATTAAATAGAATTGACTCACGTAGGAAGATACGATCAGCGAATTCGGCCGTTCTCTTTTACTTAAATTAGGATTAGTGTAATCGCCTCGTTTGCTTTATAGATGAGTGTTTTTAAGATCATTGTTATATGCATAAAGAAATATATAGAAAATTGAAATATTTTTTGACGTATTGATATAAAAATTCATTGATTCTCGGTCTACGATTGACATCAAACACGAAACATCATAAACATCATAAAATAAAACGTGAAATAAAAAACTCTGGAAAGATAAACGGTTATAAATGATTAGTATATACAGAGCGTCACTAAATTACTAAATGTTCTTCCATTGACAGATTTTGTGGAACATTCTAAGACAAAAATTCTTCTGTGAAAATTTCGAGACTAATAGTTTTAAATAACGTTTAAATTGATTAATCAGTGGAAAATTGGCACGCTCAGGCATTACACAGCAGTGAAGGTTTCCATGTATATTATCTCGCTTTTTAAGTATTAACATAATTTTGCATACAATGATGAACTCACATTTAAGCTTGGATTGTTTATTTGTGCCTGTTTAATTTAAATTACACTATATAATTAATTAATAATACTATAATAATTAATTAATGTGTCAACCTAATATAAAATATAGGATTATCGAACATATATATTGAATTAAAGATATTAAATTGATTAGCATCTTATGTCAT